TTTCGTTACAGGCAGCAATACGAATACAACGGACCCAGCGGAAGAGAATGAAGAACTTATAAAGCAATGCAAAGAAATGGTTAAGGGTTACGATGTGAATAAMAACGGACTACTGAGTGGAGCAGAGGTACTTTTATTATCATAGCTCCATTTTATATACATAATCCTGTGCTTAGTCGGGAATTTGTTTCTTCAAAAAAGGGTAAGYCTAGAATTTTSGTTTCTGATTGTTTGGTAAGGCGATGGTAGATTATGTGAAGTTCAGTTGGCCTGTAACGTTTCTAGTATCGACATAGTCATCTTCAAGCCCGGATATCCTGCAAATGCGGCGCACAAGGTTGCACGCCTTAACGCAAYTGCACTGCTTCTATTGGGCACAATGTTGCAGCCTCTGCTCTGCTGTCCACCTCTGAAACTGTTGCACGCAATGATGTACGCTCCAACGCCGTTGCGCTCTGTACCTCTTGCGCGCAATACCAACTTCGTTGCGATGTGTGCCGACTTCTGAAAATGTGTCACACGATGTTGTCTGGTAACGTCGAAAAAGAGGATTTGGCGTCTACCTCTAGAGGTACCTCTATATTTTTAAGCGAAAATCGTTTTCGTGTAAACAGTGACATTCTCGAAAAGCCTGTTGCCTGCTACGTCGAACGCAACATTGCTTTGTGTGTACCGAGACCCCTTTGCCCTGTGCTTTCCCATGTCATACCACTTTTCATTCTCTTGAGAATAAGATTCTTTGTTTGAGAAAACATCCACATTCATGCTTTTTTTCCATGCGCAACCGTTAAACAAAGAAGTGACATTCTAGGTAATGAAACGTTGTACTCTGAAATATTAAAACATTAAGACCAAGCTAAAGACATCTATTTATCACGATGTGATGATGACGCAAACCTTAATGGGAAAAACGTGAAAAAGCAACGTACTGTAGSTATATTTACAGCATTTCTTTTGCTTTCTTAGTTGGCTCCTTATTTAGAAAATGTCTCTGCTATACCACTGAAAGAAAAGGAAGTCGTTACAATGTGAGTATATTTAGTCTGTAGTCAGTGATAAATCTTTTTGTCTTTTCGCTAACCTGGCTGCTTTAAAATTCTAACTTTTTTCTGGCTGTTACATCACAGTTGGGTGTTAGGCACTCTCAACAGAAAATCCCCAAACTCCAGAGATCTAATGGGTACTTGGCAATATTATCTTGAATGCAAGGCTAATATGGAAAAAAAAAGAAATTCCGTTGAGAAAAGTCAGATTTCTTTTGTTTTTATGTTAGCATTGCATCGGTAGTTTCGAGAAGGTTCCCGCTAGAACGTTGGTATATATTATATTATTATATAGACATGAGTGTTTTACTTTTCTTTTACTTTTTTTTCCTTTGTTGTTGTCTTTTATTTTTGCTTTTGTGTTTATTT